AAAAAAAAAAGAGAAGAGGATAGAGAAAGATAGCAAGTGAACAATAGAGGGGATGTTAGTGAGAAACAGATATGGTTTATTATCTGTTGAAGATGACGTGTATAGTATTCTCAACTGGACTGGTCTGGGAAGTATTTCATGATGGGTGAAGTCTTTTAACAAGCAAAATGAGAAATAGTGATTGACTGTTTTAAAAAATTATAATAATAATAATTATTGAGAAATGCATGGAAAAGACTTTGAATGATAAAGCGGGGAGATAGATGCCTCTGTATTGACTGACATGCATGGCATTCCCTTTTGAAAAAGCAATGGAAGTCAATGTAAAGTTATATGTAATCCAATGTAATATAAAGAAGATTATGATGATAAAAAAAAAAAAAAAAGCCTTCTCCTTTGCTGCATCCACTAAATGGCAAGGGATAAGATAGTTTTAACTTTGTTACTAGAAAGCAACTTTGATTATTGGGCTGAAGTAAACAATTCAAATAAGGCTTTTGAGAAAAATCTGGTTTATTTTTTAAAACTAGAAGATAGCTATATATAGGACCAGCAGATGGTGTAGTGGTGATGTCGCTGGACTCTCATATAGTCAACTGTGGTTTCAGTTCCAGACCCAGAGGCTTAAAACTCACATTGGGTACATGTGCATGCATGGCCAAAATTCCGAGAGTAGAATGAGGAGAAGGGATTGTGGTGTGGCCATCCACCCGAGGGGTGATTTCTCACTGTCTCTCACTCTGTGTCTCTCTGGCGAGTGCATATGCCCTATAGCAAAAATCTCTCTAAAATAAATAACTAAATAATTGGACAATTATATGTATGTGGTAACAACAACAACTCCTAACGGGCCAGAAATGAGATGGCAAAAAGCTATAGGTATGATTAACACCAAACTGAGATATATACCAAGGGTTTCTGTTTTTTTAATACTAAGTTCTATTTCTAGAATGTCCATGACAATTACCAAAGAAAACTGAAATAACATACCTTTTTAATCATGTTCTCTTGTTGGGATTCAAGAAACTCAAGTAGTTCCGCTCTCGTGGAATTATTCCAGATCAAATAGGGACTCTCAGTGTTGCTATTAAGCATCTTCAAAATCTAGGAGACAGAATATCACTGTTTTGGGGACCAACAGATGGTGCAATGGTTGCTTCGCTGGACTCCCACACAGTCATCGGCAGTTCGAGTTCTAGACCCAGTGGCTTAAAACTCACACTGGGCCTGTGCATGCGTGCCCAAGATCCAGAGAGGAAAAAAATAACTATAGTTAACTGCTGTCATCAATTTATTTAGTTTTATACAAAAACAGGAGACCTAGCCTCATTTAAAATATTTTAATGTCTTTAATTATTCTTTCATAATTAAAGGGTACATAGTATCCTATTTAACAAGTTTTATTGTGCTTCTAATTATTTGATACTATATACTTAGACTGTTTCTTTTTTTCTTTTTATTTTTTGGAGAGATTTTCGCTATAGGGTGCGTGCGCTCGCCAGACAGAGAGAGAGGCATAGAGACAGAAAGCGAGAAATCACCCCCCAGGGGCAATGGTCACGCCGCAATCCCTTCTCCTCCATTCTCCTCTCGGGATCTTGGGCATGCACACACACGCGTCCGGCTTGAGTTTTAAGCCACCGGGTCCGGGATGCAAACCGCGGTCGACTACGTGGGAGTCCAGCGACATAGCCATTACACTAACTGCTGATTACCCTTAGACTGTTTCTTAATGATCCTCACAAAAAAGGTCAAAGAGGCTGGGTCATACTTATTTTGTAAAGCATCTCTGTATGTATTTATGCACATGCATATGTTGGTGTGCATATATGTTTATGTACTCTGAGTGCAAATAAACAATGGCTCATCAGAAATAGCTGGACAAAGACTGAGTTATCGAATTCCGGCACTCTGGCCACTGCAGAGCACCATCCAGTCACTGGATTCTGGCCCTGTCACTCTGCGACTCAGGGCTGGTAAGAACTATGGTGGACCCCGGAGCTGAGAATCACAAAGTTGAACCCTGCAGAGATTGGACTTGGGGAGCAGATACCATTACCTAATCCATCATACACTGACTTTCAAGGATGAGACAACAAGCATGTGCACTTTTAAGGTTCCCCAGAGCAATCAATATTACCATACTCCTTTACCACTTGAAATGTCTTGCACTGTTCATGAAAATCCAGCCACCTCAGAAGCCCATACCTCAGTAGCGCTGACCACAGCAAGTTTTCTAGCAACATAGGGTGTCAAGAGGCCAGCTAGACTTTTCCTTATGGTTGGGTTTTCTGGAGTTGCTTGTTCTTCAGGCAAATACCCTCCAAGGCGACTTAGAGCACAGACACTCAGTTTTGCAAGGCTGTTGGCTACTTCCTATTACATACATACAAAAATTAAGACATTAAGGTATATCTGTTATCTTATATATAACATAATAACTATGAAACCAAACTGTACAGAACATATTTATGGAACAGCAGAAAGCAAACAAAAAGAGGGCACGAGAATCCTCAACACTGTTATAAGAAAGAGCATTAGAGCTTATTCTTCTCTTTTTAGTGAAGGTTGTCAGAATCTAGCACTCATTGACACCCAATCCAAAACGTGTGGATATCTAGAAGAAGCACATCTGGAGGGTGGGCAGGAGTAGGAGATGGGCAGGTAGACTTGCCTGCTAAAGGTGCTAATAATATGAGCGATGACGAAAGGAAGGCCAGGAAACAGTTTATGAAAATCAAACTAGTACTCAAGGCTTTGTGGGACCTAGCCCTAAAAGCTTGATGATAATACTAAATTTTCCTGTAACACACCACCAAATTCTGCAATCATAAAATTGACTCTGGAGAAAAAAAATAAATAAGTAAACTGTGTCCAGTACATGCTTCTGCAAATTCCTTTACCTTGAATCCGATAAGCATAAGCAATTAAGATAAAAAGTTTTGGAACTTTAAGAGCTGGGGTTATAGATATCAGAAATTCTGCTCTGCATTAATCATCAACCCTCAATGGCTTGGGTTCGAATTCCATATTAAAGTATAAGGTACCTGCTGGTTTGTCTCCTCATTTTTCTGAATGCCACTCTCTTCTAGTGTATAGTCGTAACTAAACAGGTAACCAAGCAGATGCCACAAAATTCCAGCCTGAAACAGGTGTGTCTGCAGCCAGAAATCCACAGCAAAAGAACTGACGCATTCTACCCCAAGGGCAGCCACCCGTGGAATGCTCTGTGAGAAGAAGAACAATGAAATTAATTTATATGATTAAGAAAAGCTCTAGGGGCCGGCAGGAGGCATGGTGGTTAAGGGCGCTGGACTCCCACATGACCAACTGTGCTTTGGGTCCCGGACCTGGAGGTTTGCTTTCTAACTTTCTCCCTCTCTCCGAGTCGAAGGAAGGAAAGGAGGAAAGAAGGAAGAAAAGAAGGATGAAAAAAAGTTAAATAATTTTTTAAAAAAAAAAAAAAAAGGCTCCGAAGAAAAACTGGTTGTGAATGTATGTCAAGCTAGCTCTCTTTGCAAAATAATTACCTCTTCCTGTATTTTCAAATTTAAATCTAAATTCTGTATCCTTTAAAGCCTAAAATGAAAAGTGACCTTATGTTGAGAAACAAGAGTTACTATCTTTGAGACCAGTGTCTCAAAGACACTTGGGAATAGCTCTCTAGTTTGGTTTCTTAGATTTTTTTTTAAGCACACACAAAATAAGACATAGTTTACTTTTAAAAAGAGGAATATCAACTCTACCTTGCCAAAATACAGCACTCGACAGAGATCCTTGATGATGCTAGGCATTTCTGTAATAAGCATTCTTCAAACTGAGCAGCCACACTAGAACATTTACTTATGTGTCCACACACCTGCAGACAACATAGCAGATAGGAAAAAGTGAGGTGTGCATTCCTTACTTACGACAGAGCAAAAATAAAACTGGTGGAGATTTGTAAATAATGCTTAAAGGTATGTATGATGTTCCAAAATGACAAAGAACATTTCTATTGGATCACTCATCTTTCTCACTAAGATGCAAGGGCTGCCAAACTACCACCACTATAGCCCATGCGTCACATCGACCATGGTCAGTTTTTAAGCCACCAGGGAGGTAAGTACAGGTTTTATATTTTTAAAGGGTTGTAAAAAAAAACAAAAGAATATGTAACAGAGACTGAATAAAACCTCAAATATTTACTCTCTGGCAAAAATTTGCTGAGGAGCAGCCCTGTGGCCAATTGGTTAAAGGAGCCAAATCCCACATGGCCTACTATGATTTGAATACTGGCTCTGGCAACTTAAAAAATACACCAAGCATCCCCTCCCAAAACTCCCACAGGGTGGAGAACTGGAGCAAGGACTGTGGTGTGGTGTGATTATACCCCAGAGGAGTGGGAGGACTCTCCAATTGCGTGTGCTCTCTCACAATTAAAAAAAAAAAGTTTGCAGGACTCTGCATTAAGGTGTTTTAGTCCAGTTTATTAAAATGGTAGACTATCATAATTTTATTTATGCAATATACTTCAAAATAGAGGATGAGAGATAGCCGGTGGTGTGGAGGTTGTGGGTGGCTGAATCCAACATGGCTGACTGTGTGGTTCAAGACCTACACCTGGCTGCTTGGAAGGTAAGATGAGCGTATGTGCATTGTCCAAAAATCTCAGGAGAATGGAGGAAAAGCAACAGTAATGTGGCTATTCCCCCAATGGGGATGCTTTCTCTCTCTCTCTCTCGCTCTCTCTCTCTCACGCGCGCACGCACGCACACACCCTCTGGTGAGTGCGTTCACCCTATAGGAAAAAAAAAAGTTAAACTCAAAAGCCAACATTCATTTAATATTTTAAATTTTGATGGTATAAAAAAAGGTTATATGTAAAGATGCACGCTACTCTACAATGATGTTAATAAATTCCTAATAAATTTTCCATTAAAAAATCTTGCTTACACAACCCTAACAAAAATTTACGCCAATGAAAATATTAGGGATGAGGGAAGAGAGGTAGAAAAAGGGGTGTAAGAATGTGAAACAAGAATAGCAAAAAGACAAATGTCTGAAGTTGACTGAATGAGACAGAATAGTTTAGTATGTTATTATTTACTTTAAGAAAAAGAAATTAAGGGCCATCAGGTGGCACAGTGGTTGGGGTGCTGGACGCTCATGTGGCCAACTGCAATTCAGGTCCCAGTTCGGCGGCATGAAACACGTGCCGGGCCATGTGAGCGAGTGCCAAAAATCATGAGCGGAGAATCAAGAGAAGGGACTGTGGCATGGCCATCCCACCATGAGGAGTGATATCTTGCTGTTTCTCCGTCTCTCAGAGAGGGCAAGCACCCTATAGCAAAACTCCCTCACAAAACGAAGAAATTAAGTCAATGGATCACAAGGGACTTAGCACCGTGATTCTTTAAGTGTGACGGGTACACAGAATACTACAACCTGGGAACCTGCTAGAGAAGCACATTCTCAAGCTTGACCCCAGACCTCCCAACGGAAACTCAAAGGTGCAGTGGGTATAGCTCGGCATCTCATGCTTTAATGAACCCTGTGTTTGATTCCTACAGATATTAAAGTCTGAACCACTTCCTCAGAACATAGGCTTTAACCTCACCTGTACTGACATGTCGCTTGGTTTACTGGAACGATTCAAGACAGCTACACAGCGACTAAATGCCTCTTGTAACACCTGCAGAGAAAAATGTCAACCATTATTTCTTCTTTTTCTTTTCTTTTTTCTTTTTTTGGAGAGGTTTTTGCGATAGGGCGTGTGTACTCGCCATACAGACAGAGAGAGACAGAGAAACAGAAAGCAAGAAATCACCCCCCAGGGGGGATGGCCACGCCGCAATCCCTTCTCCTCCATTCTCCTCTCGGGATATTGGGCACGCACGCACATGCACCCGGCGTGAGTTTTAAGCCACCGGGTCCAGGATGCGAACCATGGCCAACTACATGGGAGTCTAGCAACATAGCCATTATACTAACTGCTGGTCCCTCAACCATTATTTATCCACTTCGACTTGAAGTCTGAAAAACCTTTTCTAAAAGGAACTAAATATAAATAAGCTTTTAGTGCTACATATTTGTTACATACGTTTTTGCTCAATGAACATTCGTTAAATAAACAATAAAGGAGTTTCTTTTTAAGTCTTCCAATAAGCTACTTCATAAGCAGTATTACCTTTTCAAAGTTTGAATCCAATAATCTCCAAATCACAATTTAAAATAAAAATCCTTTTCTACCTTGAATTTTAGAACTAAAATATAAAGAATAGAATACTATCTACTGAAATAAATTGAAGAACAATTGTATGAATGGCATTTATACTTGGTGAATTCTCTAATGCCTAGAGCAATGTGCCTAACCTAGCTTCAAGAAAGCACGGGGTCAACCTACATTACCTCTATCCCACTCTCCCTTCTGAGCTCTTCGGCATTGAGAGCTGAGCAGTTGACAGTGTGGAAAGCTAGCTCTGCAGCTGCCGGCAGCAACGGTGACTCCTTTGAGAACAGGAGGTCATCTGAAGTTTCCATTGTGATAGTCCTAATCAGCATAGGGTATCCTGCATATTTATAAGGCTGTAAATCTGAAGTAACCAAAGATGGGTATTGAGAAAACAAAAACACAAAATAAAAACTGATCAGGCCACAGTTAATAATAATTATTCAATTATGCTGTCTGAAGAGAAATTAAAATGATAAAGTATTCAACACCTAAATGTTTCCTTATTCCAGTTTATAAAAAAGAAATTAAATGTTAATTAGATCCTTTGGGTTTTAGCTTTTCAGCAAACTTGTTTGATAGATGTCTCTAAAATGGTTCCACTAAGAGTATTTTCTGGTAAATTAATTGCACTTGGTATGTCCTGATCTTTTGAAGAAAACCTTCTTTCGATGTTATCCATAGGATCACTGGAACTTTTGATCTGATCCTTGAAGCAAGACATAGCAAATGCACCACAGACTGTATTAACACTCATGATGTGCACTGCATTACATAGAAGATTGTGAGAAGACATTTCATTTAAATGAGAGTGACATTTTATATTCTGCTTTCTGGATAACACTTTTTTCTTAATTTTGTATTTTCCAGGAGCAAGAAAGACACAGAACACTCCAAACAGGGCCTTGGTGCCAGGATGCACTCCCAGCTTCAGTCAGCTCTGGAGGATGAGTGTGGGTGTGTGTGATGGGCGTGGGTGTGTGACAGGAATGGGTGTGCGATGATGAGCGTGGGTGTGATGATGGGTGTGGGTGTGTGATGGCATGGGTGTGTGATGGGCGTGGGTGTGTGATGGGTGTGGTTGTGTGATGGATGTGGGTGTGGGATGGGCATGTGTATGTGATGGGCGTGTGTATGTGATGGGCGTGTGTGTGATGGATGTGGGTGTGTGATGGGCGTGGGTGTGTGACAGGAATGGGTGTGCGATGATGAGCGTGGGTGTGATGATGGGTGTGGGTGTGTGATGGCATGGGTGTGTGATGGGCGTGGGTGTGTGACAGGAATGGGTGTGCGATGATGAGCGTGGGTGTGATGATGGGTGTGGGTGTGTGATGGCATGGGTGTGTGATGGGCGTGGGTGTGTGATGGGTGTGGTTGTGTGATGGATGTGGGTGTGGGATGGGCATGTGTATGTGATGGGCGTGTGTGTGATGGGCGTGGGTGTGTGATGGGTGTGGTTGTGTGATGGATGTGGGTGTGGGATGGGCATGTGTATGTGATGGGCGTGTGTATGTGATGGGCGTGTGTGTGATGGATGTGGGTGTGTGATGGGCGTGGGTGTATGATGATGGGCATGTGTGTGTGATGGGCGTGGGTGTGTGATGACAGGTGTGGGTGTGATGATGGACGTGTGTGTGTGATAGGCGTGTGTGTGGGTGATGGCTGTGGGTGTATGATGATGGGCGTGTGTGTATGATGGGCGTGGGTGTGTGATGACGGGTGTGGGTGTGATGATGGACGTGTGTGTGTGATAGGCGTGGGTGTATGATGATGGTGTGTGATGGGCGTGTGTGTGTGATGGCTGTAGGTGTATGATGATGGGCTTGTGTGTGTGATGGGCATGTGATGGGCGTGGGTGTGTGATGATGGGCGTGGGTGTGTGACGTGCATGGGTGTGTAATAGGCGTGGGTGTGTGTGATGGCTGTGGGTGTGTGTGATGGATATGTGTGTGTGATGGGTGTGGGTGTGTGTGATGACAGGCGTGGGTGTGTGATGGGTGTGGGTGTGTGTGACGACAGGCATGAAAAAGGTTTCTAAAATAATTCTGATTAGTTATAAATGCCATAAAATAAATGTTTTACAAATGCGTCCTGTTCAGTTCATACAGGAAAGTGAGTCGATTAGTCACCACTCTCTTTACTGATCCAACTGCTATATACTCAGACTAATCCTTTTAATACATATTTAAAGTGCATCTCTCTCTTCTGTGTTCAAGTACACAACAGTCTTCATGCTATTCCAAATCCCCACAGTGCTCTTTCTTCTCTCTCATGCAAATGAGTCTCCGACACTTTGTGCTGTGTTAACTCAAGTTTAATTCCCAAGCCGAAGGATAGTTTCAATGTTGAAATCCACCCAAATAGGCCCCCAACAAATCTTTAAATGTTATTAACATACTCCTTGGTTTTCTAAGTTGCTACTGATATGGCCACTGCAAAGGGTGAATGACCCTAGACTCTGAAATCATACTTACAGTGAATCTCATCTATACTAGTGTTTTTCAAACTGTCCCACAGAACTAGAGGGTCTTGAGAGCTGTGACAGGAAATGGCAGGTATGGGACCAGCAGGTGGCATAATGGCTATGTTGCTGGACTCCCATGTGGTCAACTGAAGTTCGTGTCTCGGACCCAGTGGCTTCGACTCTCACCAGGTACATGTGTCCCCAAGATCCCGAGAGGAGAATGGAGGAGAAGGGATTGTGGCATGGCCATCTACCCTGGGGGG